CGGCGTCCGCGTGCGAGGTGCGCGCTTGCCGCCCTGGGGAGGGCCCGCAGCCAGCACGCCCACGGCACCTGCCCGGCCCCGCCACCGTCCCTCCCCAGGGGCCGCATCCAGGTGAGAGCTCGCACCCTCGCTCCGCGCCCAGTGTTCCTGACGGTTGCTTCCCTTTGTGGTAGGTTTACTGTTTTCCCTGGTGATGAAGTGTTTCCCATGGGAGTCGTGAAGGTTGTAAGGAAAATGGGAGGGAAAAGGGTAAGATGGTCCACAGACGGGGCAGAGAGCCTGGGCTGGGCCGGCTGTGGACAGAGCTGCGCGGGGGCTCTCTCGTCTCCTCTCCCGCCCGAGGCTCAGAGCTGGCAGCACGTTCTGACCCAGAGCCTGCGGTGGGCGGGGGTCTCCCTCCCAGCCCGGTGCCATCACCAGTGTGAGGCCAGGCAGAGACCCAGGCGAGCTCCGTGTGCACCTGTCACCCCCCCAGGGCCGCACCAGTGATCCTGGGGGGTCCGCACTGCCAGCACCAAAGCCTGAGGGGACACACCCCGGAAGCTGTGCGTCCGTGGATGGGGACCCCATTGTCTCCCAGTCAGCCAGCCTGCCTGCTAACATTGAACACAGAAACAGCACACTGGCTGCGCCTGCAGGCTCAGCGAGCTGTCCCCGCTCGGCACCCATTCGGATGTTCGTCTGAAAATCCCGGCTGCTGTGGAGAGAGCCGCGTGGAGGAGGGGCCGGCCCAGGGCGGGAGGTCACCCTGGGCACGCGTCAGGTGCGACGGCTTCTGTTTCAGAACCATCTACCTTTCGTCTCTCTCTTACTTCAATAGATCATTTTGTATTTTTAAAGTGCCGAACAATTTACTTTTGAAAACTTGAAATACAGAGAAATGTGAAAAGAATAAATCAGTGCAATTTTGTCTCCCTCCCCCGTACAACCACTTTTAACCATTTGGCACACCTGGCATGTGTGTGTGTGTGTGTGTACGTGTGCATAGGGGGGCATGTGCCCATGTGCATAAGCTTGTGTAGGTGTGGTGTGTTACCACGTGGGCACACACGTGTGGTATGCAGTCACGTGGGCACACTTGTGTGTTGCACGCACCTGTGTCAAGTGTGTGAGTGTGGTGCGTGCACGCATGGGTGGTATGTGTGCATACCACTTGTATGCACACACATGCGCTAATGTATGTGTGTGTGGCGAGCGTTCACATGTGCACACGGGTGTTGTGAGAGTGGTGCGTGCATGCACAAAAGCATGTGAGTGTGTGTGTGCATATGTGCAGACACATGGCTGCACAGACGTGCATGCGTGTGGAACGTGTGCATGTGGTGGGCCTGCGCCGTGGAGGGACAGAAGGACATTTCCAGTTCTCTGCTGCTGAAAATGACGGATGCCGTGAAGAAAATCTACACACGTGCATCTTAGGGCACATTTCTCATTGTGAGAAGCAGAATTCAGAAACGTGTTCCCGAGGCCATGCGGGCCTGGATCTGCGTGTCTAAAGGATGTTTCAGGGGGGAGGTGGCCATTTACGTTCCCAGCCAGAACTTCGGAGACGCCGGGGTTCCCGTGCCTCCTTCGTACACGGCTGTTCTTTTAAAGACATTTTCCAGTCTGACAGGTGTAAGAGAGCATCGTTTAATCGTGCATTTATTTAATTAGAGCGGCTGGGAATTTTTCTAAATTTGCCATTCCTCCCCATGTTTTCTTGTGCAAATTGTGTGTCCATATTTGTCAGTTTTTCTCTCTCGGGGTGACTGGAGTGGCCTCGTATGAAAACAGATTCATCTGGAAGAAATCTGACCTCTGTCTTCAACCTACAAACCCGACTTGGGTTTCTGTTAGCCCTGTCACCACTGAGATCCCTCAGGAAAGTTTTGTAACTTTTTTCAAGTAGTTTTGGTGTATTCTTAGAGTTTGTCCCTACGCGCTTAACACGTGCTCTTGTGTGAGGAGTGTCTGCAGGGCGGCGGTGCTGGTGCTGGTGCTGGGCGCAAGCTGTTCATCTAGGGACCGTGGTTTGTACGACTAAGTAAGCAGAGCCCATCCAGACTGGCTGAAGCCCCAGCACAGATTCTTTGAGAGGCAGTGGGGTTTTCTGAAGGCCTGGAATCCAGCACTGAAATTTAAGGCTGCCAGGATGAGGCATGGGGAAGCCTTTTCTGTAAAGGGCCAGAGAACGGTTATTTTAGGCTTTGCAGGATAGGTCTGGTGGGGCCTGCTCACCTCGGCTGCTGCAGCACGAAAGTGGCCGTAGACAACTGGGGATGAATGGGGCAGCTGTGTGCCAGGGAGACTGTGCTTACAGCAGAGGCTGCAGGTTGGAGTTGACCCCACACAGAGCCCCCGCTTTCTGCTTCTCTACGACTCTCCCATCTTCATGTTCCTAGTTTTCTGTGCATGTGGAGGAAAACTGTTCCTGGTTGAGAACCATTGCTCTGAATGCATTACTCTTTAGCCCTCATAGCAACGTTATGAAGCTTGGCGTTATGGCCCCATTTGACAGATGGGGAGACTGAGGCCAGCAAGATGCCACAGCCAAGGTCAGGGAGCTTATAACCCACGTCGGCCTGACAAGCACTGTGGCCGTGTGAGTGCAGTTCAGAGTTGGGTCAGAGCCCACGGCATGTGCCTGCAGGGTGCAGTCCCCGCGTCCCAGGGACCCGAAAAGAGGAGGCAGAGGAGGCAGGAACACAGAGGACTGGGCCCTTCCAGTGCTGCCAGGAGCGTTTTCTGCTGGGCATTAATAATGCCACCACCACCACGGCCACAGTAAAGGAAGATGAGGGAAATGAACACTTGCTGGCTGGTGTGTTCAGTGCTCAGCGCAGTGATCTGCTCCCACGGGGCTGGAGTTAAGAGTGGACGGCTCCTCGCCGCCGGTGAGCTCTGCTGGCCCCAGACAAGGACCCCGAGATGGGGGCTCCGCAGACCCCGGCTCCAGGCGGCCATGCTCCGCCTCACTGGAGGGGCCCGCACTCCTGCCGGGGGCCTGGGCGTGGACCTCCCGGGGCGGCCGCTGGGCCGGGTGCAGCCTGTGCTCCCGGGGCCAGACGCCTGCGGCCTCCCGAGGGGC